CCCCAACACACGCTAACGAGCCATCTTTAATCGCTTCTGATGACCGCTTGACAAATAAACATTTATTAGAAGCGCTGTAACTTTTCAGGCCGGCCTCAAATTCATCATAAAATAAAAACTCGGCTCCTGCACAATTTAACGCCATTTTGCCCGAAGTGATCCAGGCCTCTACCCAGCCTGAGGCGAGTCACGAGTGAGGCAGGACAGGAAGCCCGAGTCACGAGTCACAGGAAGTCGGAAGTGATGTCATGCTGGACAAGAATCAGAGTCCGAATAACATTTTTTCATACTCGGACTCGAGTCCGAATAGTCACTTCGATTAAATATACGTCACTATTGTCACATTGTCACTGACTAAAACAAGCAGTGGAAGCTCTCCCTAAACGAAGCTTTAGTGCCGTGCCCGTGAACATTGCCTCAACAGTGCCTGCAAATTGCATAATTCAGGGCGCCGTGAACGTAGCCTGCCAACTCGTGAACGTAGCCTGCAGACTACGTTCATGGCAATCATGGTGCTGTGAACGTAGCCACTGTTTGTTTTCATACTTCATACAATACATACATGATAGACCTAGAAGAGGTCTATAATATTTTTAAAATGCATAATAGTATTATTTATATAGATTATAAGAAAATCATTTATACGAAGGCCTTAAAAATTTATATCAAAATTGCACAATATTGACATTGACATTTAAGTAAGTATTTGTTGAGTTTCGCCTACTTCTTTGTATGGACATATGGTATCTAGATCTAGATTCTAGATCTAAGCCTGTACAAAATTCGATTCCATGTCAGTCTCCTCAGCCAGGAGTCAGAGCAGGAAATAGATCTAGGCCTAGGCAGGGCAGGCTGCAGCTGCTAGAAGGCCAACTCAGGCATCTGCTCTAACTCTAACTAAATTTGGATCACCTCTCTTGTTTACTCTTCACTGGCAGTGATATAACAATAAATATAGATCTATGAACAATGAGCACCGAGAGTTAAACGTAATTAGGATACTAGATTATCATGTCTCAAAATCCTGTCAATAACCGACCGGAAAACAGCGAACCACAAGACACTTAACAAGTCTGAAGAAGCAGGAAATATCCGAGGGGAAACATGATTGATAGAATCGAGACTCTCTAGGCCTAGGCTAGAATCTAGGCCCTACAGAAACATCAAAAAGTTACTTACGGTTCCAATTATGCAACCCATTTCGAAGATGAACCACTTTCTTTACTCACTGTATAAAGAATTTTTTAATCTAGCCGGAGACACTCTAATATTTTTATTATGATGAGTCAAAATTCACGTGATACTAAATTTCTCAATCCAATGTTTACAATCTACTACAAAATGGCGAAGGATCGTGACGTCAATCTCCTGGAGAACCTATTTTTAGAATTAATAAAGGATGACCAATAGTTTCGTCTTTTTCGGTGTTTAAAGATTTCTAATCCTATTCATCAGAATGTTTTCTCTTGAGAAAATGTTATACTCCCCCCGTCCGACCAAACCCCAAAGAGGTTAAAAGTTGTTTTAAGCTCCTTGCCCAGCCCTCATCCAACAAAATATGGCAACAGAAACAAAAATATGAAGAGAACAATGAACAGATAAAATAGCAACAAAAGAAAAAGAAACCAGAAAAAGAAAGAAGAGAAAATGTAAAAGAAAAGGAGAAACTGCCAACAAGATAACGAAATTTGAACAAACATGAAAACAGCAGGGATTGAAACAGCCCTCCCCCCCCCCCCCCCCCCAAAAAAAAAAATCAAACTGAACACAAAAAATAAATTGAACAGATAACAACCCGCCGGTTCCCCAACCCGCCACACCTGGGTTCCGTCTTCCCCACAGAATTCTACACTAAGTGTAGAATTCTGTGGTCTTCCCTCAACCAAGGAGATTAAAAGTAATGGAGGATGCTCTGTGGGCGGCACCGCACGCCTGATAGGAGCCCTCTCTCGCGGCGGAACCGTGGGCTACCTGCGCTGCGCGATTGCCCGATTACGGCACTGAAATCTAGATAAGAAAGAAGGTTTTATTCCGAGGTCCTTCAGATTAGGCAAGTCAATTAGTAAAAATGCCTTGCACCTGTGTTGTATTTAAGTGTAAGAACCAATTTGATGCTGCAGTGGACCGAAGTTTTCACAGTTAAGTTGTTTCCCTTTTAAAAAATTTGAATGAAAGTGTTTCTGTGCCCCCAGAAACACAATTTGAATCATTAATATTCATAAGAGGCTGGCTCCGGCGCTACATGCCAAGGCCAACCCAGGCTGAAAGGGATACAACACCCCAGCAGAAAGACTGAGATAATCAATTTTTTAAAAGTATTCTTATTCATAAATATATATAATTATTATGAGTATATATATATAAATATTATGTGTGTGTATGTATATACATATTATACATTTTAATTAAAGATATTGCTTTCCTTTGTGTGTGCAAATTAGATGCTACTGTAGTCTAAATGTAGATATCTAGAGGCTCCATTAGAACATGCAATCAATATTCAACAACAATAATGATGAATATTTTCTATGTTAAAGAAACACCAAACCATATCAGATGAGGGGAGAAGGTAGGGTGGGGTGGATAAGAGTTTGAGTCTTGATAGATAGAACTATACTCGGTTTAATTCTATTGTTGTAGTCTTCACCTAAGATCCCACAATCAATAATTCCGGTTCACTTAAGATTCTGCTGTTAAAAAATAAACCAAACAAAGCAACAACAAATTTTACTACACAAGAGTCATCACTAAGATAAATTATCCCCCCTCTGGAGTGTAATAAGGGACTAAAAACGCTGCTCTCCATATCATACTTTACTGAAGGAAAAAAAAAAAACCTTCAAAAGTTATCCACGCTCATGTATGCGATCACACCTCCAAGGGTGCTGTTATCTCTTTTTTTGTGTGGAATATTTGAAATCATTGTGCGCTCCACTTTGTGAAAACCAGGAAACAAAATTATTGGGATCAATAATATTATTTATAGACCAAGACATACTGTTAGCAGTTAGATAAAGCAAACATCGACCCTCTTTTGTGTCCGCTATTCCTTACGGTACACATAAAGATAGTTGTGGAAGCACGCCTAGAATCATGCAATCATATATCTTAAATTCAGTTTAAAAGTATATTTTCATCCATTTCTTATAATTATATATTTTAGCATCTTGAAAGATTATCTTTCTAATTTGGTATGTTTGATAATTTTAGGTTACTCGGACAAGTTTTATTCTTATTTTACACATCTTTTTGATTTTTAAACTAGATTATAACATAAAACTCTTCAAGAATTGAACAGTCCGTATCACACACATAATTTTTTCTCCCTGTCATTATCCGTCAGCCCGTCAGTTGATCACAACCTCTCTGTCTCTCTGTCTCTCTGTCTGTCTCTCTGTCTGTCTGTCAGTCTCTCACTCTCTCCCTCTCTGTCTCCCTCTCTGTCTGTCTGTCTGTCTGTCTGTCTGTCTGTCTGTCTGTCTGTCTGTCTGTCTGTCTGTCTCACTCACTCACTCTCTCTCTCTCTCTCTCTCTCTCTCTCTCTCTCTCTCTCTCTCTCTCTCTCTCTCTCTCTCTCTCTCTCTCTCTCTCTCCCTCTCTCTCTCTCTCTGTCTCTTATTTAATTTCCCCCATTCTCCTTCGTCCCTTCCCAAGGCCCGCCCCTCCTCTTTCTTCCCAGCCCCATCCCCTCTTCCTTGCGTGCATTCCCCCACCCCGCCCACCCCCACAACGTGGCCCAGCCCGATAAAATTCTATAAAAAGAAACGCCACAGTTCGGGATTTAGCCCACACTCGGTGGCCATATTTGATCCCCAACGCGGCGTACTGCTCGCGGCGCCCCGAAGAGAGAGAGGAGGCTCCATTAGTTCTAAGCTCCTTGCCCTCAACCCATCTCTCTCTCCTTCTCTCATTCCTCTACCCCTCTTTTCCCTCTCTTTTTTTCTTTCTATATGGTCTATATAAAACTTTAAAAATAAACTTCATAAAATGTATTTCTCTATCACGTGTTTTTAATGACAATTTAATAATAGGATTGAATTATTAAGTGTCGAATGAAAAAATAAATCAGCGACGTAATCAAGAGTCGTTTCCCATGTCGGTAAAGAATCTCGATCTATACCGGTAAAACCATTCTATATTTTTCTAAAGCTTATTCACGGTGTGAGGCATGGCTGTCACAAACGCCGTTGACTTATCAAAACTTTACACTCGAAATTTTGAATTGAACGATGAAACTGAATTGGTATTCCACCAGTCGGAAATCGGAGACGTTGGATGTGTAGTTTGGGATGCTGCGTTAGTTCTCTGTAAGTATTTAGAAACTCGGGATTTTGATGAAGGCAACGCTTGGCATGGGAAGACTGTGATCGATCTGGGCTCTGGGACAGGAGCTGTGGGTCTAGTGGCTGCTGCGCTTGGGTGAGTAGAAGTTGAAATCATGAAACATCAACTTGCTTACCTTCCAACTGGGGAATTCCCTGACTTCACAATAACTCTACAAATACAGTCAAACCTGCCCTGACGGCCACCTCTATAAGACGGCCACCTGTACAAACGGCCACTTTCCATTTCCCCCCTTGCGTTTTTTCTATATAATTTAACTGTGTAAAACGGGCACCTGTCCAACGCGGCCGCGGCCACTATATTTTAACACACTACCCCTATCACACTAAGCAATAACACCTGTCTTAGACGGCCACCTTAGTGACTCCATTACGTTTTGTAATAAATAATTGTGCATTGGCCCGCGGCGTTGTGGGCAAGCCGTCATTATTCAATCTCCTGTCGTTGTTGTTCGATTGTCCCTCCAACCGATCGTGCTGCGTAGGCCCCTCCCGCCCAGAACTCATATACACAAATCGTAAGTGAGATGAGTGGTCACTTTATACCCAGTCTGTAACAAAGTAACAAAGGACATCAACATGAACTTGTGACAGAAGCGTCGCTCCTTCTCCGAGTGGTGGCGACTCATGTGTTTGTTTTAACATGGCACTCGGTCTTCCTCGTTTGATACATTTCGTTTTATTGTCACCCTTGTGCAAAGTCAGCAACAAAATGAAAATCACAAACAAAATACTAACCAACAACAACAACAACAACCATGCGGCTACTTTCGATTGGGACCTCAGATGGGAATGGTTTGTTTTCTTCATCTTGATTAGTCCTGCCTAAGACGGCCACCTGTCTTATACAGCCACTTTTCTCCTTGACAATGGGTGGCCGTCTTACAGGTTTAACTGTACTTCAAAGAGTCATGTATGCAGTATGCGGCTCGACAACTTCTTGTCTTGTTCTCACAGGCTTTCTTTATGACAGAGGGTGGCTGAGATTTCTTATTCGAAGTGTATATATATTGCTGTCCCCGTAGGATTATGCGATTGTGCGGCCGCGTTTTTTTGCGTAATTCTGCAACATTTGCATAATTTTGGATTCCCCGCGTTTTTTCACGTTTTTTACCTTTTTTTTCACAAAACAATTAATTAACGCCTCGCCATGTGACTAAAGGGAAATAATAACCGTAATAAGTCTCAATTAAGTGAAAAGTTAGTTATTTCCCTTGTTAGAAGATCTTGGAAGGGTTAGGATTTTGTTCCTTGAGCATGTTCAATTTTACAATTCATCAAAAGTTGTTGTTCTCATGTCTGCTGATGTTTCATGTTTGACAGGTGTCCCTGGTTTTAATAATGTGCCAGCATCAGAGGCCCAGATGTCTTTTAAAATTTAAAAAAAAAAAAAATTTTCTTCCCTCTATATCTAGATCTAATCTAGATCTACAGCTGAAAGTTACAGATCATATTTTTTGGTTGTTTTTTTTTCTTACTGTGATTGATGTGTATTGTTTGTCTTTCCAAATACACAACAAATTAGTGATACTGATATGTTCTGTTTTAAATTTTTCTGTACATAAAACATGAAAATCATGAAAATTCGTGTTGAAAAAGTGCAAAACATGTCGCGAATGGTGTTACGGTAACTTGCATAATTTTTGCATAATTTGATAGGTTTTTTTGCATAATTTGGTCATCTAAAGTTGCCTAATTCTACGGGGACAGATACTGACCTGGTAACTGAGAACAAAGTCACGAAGTATACAGACCCGATAGGGGAAATCTTTTGTGATTTCAGAAAGTTTCAGTGCCTAGACCCGTTAAAGTGTGTGTGTGTGTGTCTGTGTGTGTGTGTGTGTGTGTGTGTGTGTGTGTGTGTGTGTGTGTGTGAGAGAGAGAGAGAGAGAGAGAGAGAGAGAGAGAGAGAGAGAGAGAGAGAGAGAGAGAGAGAGAGAGAGAGAGAGAGAGAGAGGGTAGAGAACAGGGGGAAGTGCTAGCAAATATCGCATGCCCCAGTTGACAGGAGGGAACGAGAGAAAGATAGAGTGGGAAAGTAGGTGGAGGAGAAAGAAAGACAGAGACAAACAAAAAGAGAAAGAGAAGGCGAGCGATACAGACGAGACGGGTGGGGGGTGGAGGGGGCAGAAAAAGAGGGGAGAGAGAGAGAGAAATAGACAGGGTGACTGCTCGATTGAAATTATGACAATTGTTCTTTTCATCAAATTATCTTAGTCTTATTGATTCCTCCAACTCCAAAACGGAGGAAAAACGATTGTTCATCGAAAAGACATCCGCAGTCTTCATTTGGATCTAGATCTAGGCCTCGAAACTAGATCTATGATTTATGTCTGTCTGTCTACTTAGTCTAGATCTAGACCTAGGCCATAGATCTAGAAGAAGAACTTAAGTCTACCCTGAGCCAAGAGGGCGCTAAAACTTTCCGAAATCACAGGTCTGTATACTTCGTGACTTTGTTCCCGATTACCGGGTCTGTATACACTCCCTTTCTGATTAGCATTTTCTAATTGTCCAGATTGCTAAGTACTCTATTTTCAGGTGGATCACACTGCAGAATCATGTTCCTTGACTTTGGGCAGTCGGCGCTATATAAGACTGACAGGACTTCCGAAAGTGCCAGCACGACTATTCCGCCAACTTCACGCTCGTATCAAGGGCGGCGGTACAACAAGGTTTGTTTGTATATAATATAAATGTAGAGGTAAAATGTCTCTATTCTTGGTCTTTGTTTTCACAGAGCCTTGACTGTGGTGACTGACCTACCGGAGTTTGTTCCCTTGATGGATCACAATGTTAACTACAACAAATCGGTCATCGCTGCTGGCTCCTGTTCTGCTCAGCCACTTGTCTGGGGCGACTCATCCCAAACTCAGAATCTCAAAGAAAAGTTCTTCCCTCAAGGATTGGACTTTGTGACCATTGCTGACTGTGTGTACTATGAGGAGGTCTGTGTGCTGCTGAGTGATGTGTAATAAGCTCTGTTTCTGTTGTTGTTGGTGTTGCTGTGTGTGTGTGTATAGGGCTGACAGGTTTAGGGGGCAGCAGAGTCAATATCTGTACTGTTGTTACTTGGAACATAAAACAAAGATTTTACACTACTACTACTAACCTTCTGTCACAGGAATTAGCCAAACCTGTTCCTCTGCTCTGTGTTGTGATTCCTTCTGCAGCTTTGGGGCCCCGATGCGTTGGATTGGAATCTCACACTTCACGCACAACTGAACCGAGGCTCTAACTAGCCTTTTTCACAACCTATACTGTCAGCAGGCCTCCTCTGCCTTGATACAACTCTCTCCTCTCCAAATCCCACCAGTAGTAACTCAGACTTTTATCAACTTGCAAACAATACAACTGAACACAGACTCACACTTTACTCACTCTCACACTTTCAGCCAAACAATACAATAGGCTAGGCCTAACCCCCTGCCACAACCAAAAACAACCAAATAGACCACAGTATGCAAGTGTGTTGGAATGTGTGTAGGTGTGTGTGAGAAAGAGTGTGTGTGTATGTGTGTGTGTACCACATGTACGTTGTGCCTATCTGCAACCCTAAGAAGTGTGCTTCTTGCCAAGGTTTGGGGATTCGAGCCTCAGATCGGTCCAGCGTTGTATCCATGGGAAAGGCACTTTACATGAATTTCCCATTTGGCTTGGTCCTTATAGTGATGGACGTGAAACTCGGATGTTCCACCTCCTAAATAACCTAATAGTATTGATCTTATAGGGGTGTTAAACTTATACCATTTCACCATTTTCTCTTCTTCATCTTCTGTTCCCACCCCCTCCTGTCAGACAACCACTGTATGATTTGAAGGTTGGTATTCACAGCGGCTAAAGTCTTGTCAGTTTTACATTTTGTTTTTCAGCCTGCTCTTATTTAACCTTCAATGCAAAGATGCCTTTAACTTTTAACATTGTAAATGAGTGTTTGGGACCACTTAGTTTTTCATGGCCATCCGATATGACATGATACTTGCCCTCACATATTCTGGGAGGCCAACGGCAGGTACATGCACCGTATAGAGTGTAAATTAATCATCAATGTCTTGTCAGTTAAGGAGAAGGGTGGCTCAGATGTTGCTTTGAGCTGTGTGGTGGGGCAACTGATGGTCTACAATCTCCGCTTGCATGTTTATTGTCACTGCAGCAGCTTTATTTGTTTGTATGACTATCAAGAGGCATGTTTTATTTGTTTGTATGACTCTCAGTATCAAGAAGCATTAACAAGCAGTGTAGTGTGGATTTTCAAATATGTGTTAAAATAAAGCACAACAGGTAGAGAATGTTAAGATTGGTTTTCAAGTAACAAGGCAATCCAGCATCTTTTGTTTGCTTATCCGTTGGTGAGAATAAGCCAGTCAGGAGCATTGTGACTTAAATTTGCTTGATAGAAGAGAAAAGGTAGGGTTTTTTTGGGTCATTGCGTTCATTGCATTTGATCTAATTCTTCAAATAAAGAATGTACATGACCATCTACTGGTATTTCTAATACTGGCACATACTGACAACGGCTTGGCCATGTGAATCACCAAACATATACATATATGCTTATGATAGGGGATGAAATCTTGTTTATATAATTTACCCAAGGACTCAAGAAGTCTGCTTTGTTTGTAATTTGCTTTTGTGTGCAGAGGCATTTTGTTCATAGGTAATGTATCTTATCTTTCCAGTCAATAACGAGCTTGGTGGAAACAATTGTTGAACTGTGCTCCGACAAGACCACAGTGCTCTGCTGCTATGAAGAGAGAGACATTGGCAATAAATCTGAGATGCAACGGAAATTCTTTGAGGTTAGTTCTTAAATCTCAACGAGTTCTTTCTATCTTGATTGTGATGTACATTTATGTTTATTTTGAAATGGTTCTAGTTAGGTTGGTCTTGTTTAGACTCTTGGAAATGTTTCATTTTTGCTCTCATCAACTTTTCCTTTTCCTTCATCATGATTTATGTCTTTCTCACTGGCCCCTCATCTTTAACCCTTTCCTGTTCAACTTGAGCTGTCGCTGTTCAAAAACAAGTGTTGATCAGTGATCAATTTGGCCTAAACAGGCAGAACACGCCACTTCTCTTTTAATTTCAATGGTAAGCTTGGCAGTAATAAAAAGTTAAGATCCTTGACATTTTAAGTAGGTAGCGTAAAGACGGCCTTGCGGGCACTCGGGGCCTTCGGACCGCGTGGTATCGGTGAAATCAGGGTAATTCCGATTGCTGCTTTTCTTTGCTCTTTCGCTATAAAACCCCAAATGCCGTACACTTTGTAAAAGTTCAGCTTTTCCTCGTTACAATGGTGTAAGTTGTTTATATGTCTGATTATTAGGAGCTGGAAAATTGCCGAGGAAAGCGAAGCCCCTCGCGGTCGGAATGCGTGGTTGGCCGGTTCAAAAATTTACATGCGTGCATTCAAATGCTTTGCGGAACGAGGGATGATTAAATACTGTCTTTTCATTGGCAGAGAACAGTAGAGCTTTAAACGGGCTTTCCCGTGGTATATATTTTGCCTTTGGTGTTTAAATAGAAAGCCTTTAAAAATAAAGTAAAAAAGTTTAAAGATAATTTTTTACACAAAATATGTAAAATACCGGTTTAAAAAAGATATTAATTAAAAGTTCAGTTTATTTTCTATTAAAATAAAGTAATTATCTTGGAATTATTTTGCACCAATCGTTCCGCGAGACTCGGAAAGCACGTGACCCCGCATGTGGGGTACACTGCAGTATAGAGCTGACTCGCTCGCCGTGGGGGCTGGTGCGGCGCCGGTGGGGTCAATGCTCGGTGTTTTTGTCGAAATAACAACAGATCATCGTGTTTGAGGCGGTAAAATACTCATTTGTAATGATCTCACAGTCTTGAAAAAAATTAGACTCCACATATTTGTTATAGTGATTGTACTCTGTTAATGTGGAGATGTTTAGTGCACTTGGTACTCTTTTATTATCTGTCAAACATGGGGTTGCAGCCAGTGACTGACTTTAACAAATTTGATCAAATTTTGAACAACTACCATTTTCTTAGAAATTGACTGAGAGGTTAAAGTAAGAATGGTACCAAAATGCTCAGTGGATATAGGCCTTTCAAATGGAACAGATAAATTTGGCATATAAGTACTTTGAAAATTTAGTTTCTGGTAGGCCTACCTATTTTAAGATTTGGCCTTGTTTTCATTTCTCATGAGGAAAATGCGGTAGAGTAGGTATTAGCAGTCAGTTGTTAGGATTGTGTGTTCAAATCCCATGAAGGGCCCAGCGTAACGGGACCTGGCTATACTTTATGTTGGGAGGCCAAGAATGTTTCTGAGTTTTCCAGGGTCTGCTGGGTAGTAATACCGTGTAAAGTGCGTACAGCTTGCTATTGAGTAAGGATATGTACTATACAAATGCTATTTATTATTATATATTATTTGAATTAAGTGAGTGCAAAAGAACACAAAGAACAACTTGATACTGTTCAGTGTAATGGAAATTGAACGAGTGGGGTAACATTGCTGGACAGGGAAAAGTTGACTTCCAATTCCAATATCGACGCAAATCTTTAATCATGCTCACAATAAGGACAAAAGGTCACATCATTTTTTGTTTATGCTTGTTACAGATGATTGGTAAACGGTTCGATGTGAGTGAAGTCCCTTTAGCTGCTCAGGACCCACACTTCCGCAGCCCTGACATCCATATCATGAAGTTCACACCGAAGCTGTGCGTGGTCAGATGACTCTGGGGTTTCCTGATTGTGTGGAGAGAGTATGAAAGTAGAATATATGCTCACTGGATGGTATAAGAGACACTGGGACTGCAAGTGCAAGTTTTCAGACTCATTTTACATTGCATGTGTATGAGTTTTTAGGAGATGAGATAAAAAGCCTGCAGTTTTCTCTGTTTGGTACTTTATCAGATGATTGGATAGACAAGTGCCTAAAATATAGTGCTTTAAAACTTTTATGCAAGAATATTTGAGCAAATGTGAGTGTGCTCAGCTCAGAGTGAAACGTTTTTTGCCTACTTTTCTCAAAAGTCAAGAGGTGACTTAGAAAAACATTGCCTGAGAATGTGTAGAGATTGATTTTGCTGTTGTTTGCTGCTGTTTTGTATGCTCCCTTGGTCTGATCCTTGCTGTGGTACTGCTCGAGACACTAGTAGTAGATTTGTCTGGACAGCATCATTTACTGTTACATATATATATATATATATATATATATATATAAATATAAAAGTATCTATATATATATATAGAGAGAGAGATACTTTTAGGTTGCAGTATCGCACACTAAAACTGCTTTAAGCTGACGAAATGCCTTTTGTCATTTTTGGTGCCAAATTTTTTATGGGTCTCAATAGTCCGCTATTTAGCGGATTTCCGCTGCCGCCATTTCCTCCTCTAAAGTCAGCTACCGTGGCGGCGGGCCAATCAGAAAGAGAGATTTTGGGAGCAGGGTGACTGCCAGGCCCCGGGAATTTTTGAAAAATCGCTGAGACCCGGGAAAATACATAAAATATCTAGAATATTTGAAAACCAAATCCAATAACGTCGTTAAGTTCATTTCTGGCGGTCGCGATTGTGATATTAATTCGGCTCTGAGAGTACGTTTCACGCAAACTGGTGGCTTTGGCGGCAAGCGGAATTGTGTCACCAAGGCTCGGCTGGAAAATCAAGATCTACTTTCGCTTTCGTTACCACCCAGAAGTTTGTCAGTAATTGTCTGATAACGCAACATTTATTGTAACATGCGGGTTCGGCATTACAAACGTGGTGCCGCCATGAAAATATATCAATATTTGTCACCGTGCTGTCACTTGTGGGGGTAAAACCAAGAAAGAAAAAAAAACAAAAAGAAAGTTATACAAGCGTCTTGTCAGTCTCGCCATTGTGACCGGTCAATGAACCTGTGCGCGTTCTGAGCGCTTCGAAGTACAGGACTCAGGAATGGGGGAGATTATTGGGTTTTTTAAAAGACGCACTCGGGGATAGGGGGAGGGCTGGACGCAACATCAAAGGACAAAATGAAACTGAAAGCAAATGTTTAATGTTTAGAATTTTGATTACTACTAGATCTACAGCTCTCTGCAAAGTAAAGTGTGTGTTGGTGCAGGCCTTGTGTGAAATTGGGAACCGTCATAACTTGTAAGCGTGTTAATGTTATGGAACTTACGGGTCTAAGTGTTCGCGTTTCATTGGATTGGTGACAGTAAATTAGAACTCTATATTTTAGCTTTCTGTTCAAGATTCGCAGATGTTCAGTATCACTGCATCTTGCCTTCCCACAGTTCTTACACCTCTTACCCGGAATAGGTCTGCTTGGTCTATTCTACTCTACTTTGAGTTTGAGCATTATTTTTGTCTTTCTCGTTTATTATATATATATATATATATAGTGAGGTGAAAAAAAAAGCGAATTTTTTATGTTGTTGTAATCGCCCAATGCTAAGTTCATAGTTGTGTGATGTGAACTCATATCACTCAACACTTGCCTTGAGCGTCTTGATTGGACATTTTTGAGCATCGCAAAGATGCCATTGGCTGCGTAAACAATACACAACTCACGAGTCATCACTCACCACTGGGACACATTTGCAACTTGTTGTCAGTGGTGAGTTTATGCTCACTCAGTCCTGGGGGTATGCCTGTAAAATCCGCGCCTCGAAATGTTGCATTCATATCGAAACAGACGAGCTACAGACATGCCAAGGTTATCAAGGGAAAACAGAGAAAGAGCTGTCGGGCGACTGGCGGCCGGTTAGTCAGTGGAACAGGTGTCCCAGGTTTTTGGTGTCCACCCAAGCACCATTTTTTTATCACCTTCGGAACCGATTACAAGCGACAGCGACCACAGCAGATCGACCAAGAGGCGGAAGACCAAGGGGGACAACTCCGGCCCATGATTGTGTCATCATTCGTCGGCACCGCCGCAATCCGTTTCTGCCAGGTGCAGAGACTGCAAGAACAATCATGGGAACGACTGGAAGCCAAGTTAGCTGCTGGACTGTGCCATGGAGGTTAGTGACTGCTGGTCTTCACTGCTGGCATCCTTACCAGGGAGCTGTCCTAACACCAAGGCATCTACAGCAACGGATACAGTGGGCACAGGCACATGTCAACTGGCAGAACGCACAGTGGAGGAGAGTCCTCTTCAGTGATGAAAGCAGGTTCTGCGTCGATCCAGTGAATGGCCGTGTCCGTGTGTGGCGTAGAGACACGACTCGCAATGACGACTACAACATTCTGGAGCGTGACCCCTGGGGAGGCGAAAGCGTGATGATATGGGGAACCATGGCGTTGTTCATAGAGTGGAACCTGTCATCTTCCAGAACATTGGCCCAGGAAGTGGAAACGGCGTCACGACTCAGCGCTACATTGCACAAGTCTTGGCACCTCATGTGGTGCCCTTTCTACAGAGGCATCCTAACTGCCTATATCAACAAGACAACGCACGACCACATACCGCACGTGCTACCCAGAACTTCTTGGCGCAGAACAATGTCAATTTATTGGCACACCCACCTCGCTCACCTGACTTGAACCCTACTTAACATTTGTTGGACATGATCTAAAGACAGCTTAACCAGACGCAGCCACGGCCTCGAACAGCAGCCCAGTTGACTGCAGCCATCATCCAGATCTTCGGTGGCATCCAAAATGGCCAGATCAACCGTTTGATTAACTCTATGAACAGAAGATGCCTCGCTATAATCGCTGCACGTGGAGGCCATACGCGTTACTAAGTTTGCTCACCAAGGTCAAGGTCAACGTGAGCTCAGATGAATGTGCTGGACCCTCAGTTCATGTCAGCTATGTCACTCAAGAAGTGTGCAAAGTTTCAGCTAATAAACACAACGAATAACTTGAAACCTATGTGTTGTATTTTGTCAATCCTTGTGTTGTAATAAACATTCGTGTTTCTTTTGCACCTCAGTATATTATTATAATATATGATACGAATCATGACTGTCGATATCCTGGTTCTAGGCTCAAAACAATATTCCTTTTTATATAGTTTATACAGGCGAGTATGGTGAAGGGAAAATATTATAAATAAGTCGCACAAGACCCCAGGCGCCACCACTTTCTGCAGGTAATCAAGGTGGTAAATATTTGGTACATGACTCTTACTTGAAATTATCTCCCAAACCCTCAAATTGGTGTGAAATAACCTTGCTTTGATAAATTGATTGTTTTTATTTCAGCATTCTAGGGTTCAACAGTATAATAATAATGGGTGTTTAGCTAAAATGGGCTTCTGTGGCGATCACCCGAAAAGTTCCTCCCTTTTTAGAATTCCGAGTTGAGATCCATGATTTTTGTATTTGTCAAATCAAAAGCTCAGTCAGTTACCTTACTTATGTGAAAAAATCAAATTGAATCTGGCAAGTTTTTGAATAAATTAGAAGTCAAACTTTGGACAGACCCTAGTTTTAAATGGCTACGCTGACAAAATGACTCTCTATAATAATAGATAGCATTTGTATAGCGCATATCCCCGCTCAACAGCAGGTTCTCTGCGCTTTACACTATATTATTCTCTATCTCAAAACTGCTGTGAATTTTAAAAAAGGCGTTTTGTCAGCTTACGGCAGTACAATGAGCTCAAAAGTTTGTGGTGCAACTTATCCTCTAGTATCTCTTTAACGCGTGAAAAATGCCACACATACTTTAGCTGTTTGTTACTTGTATAAATTTGTCTTAACTTAATATTTTTCCACAAGTTAAGCTAGATTAAAAAAACCTTTCTTCATAAATTTATATAAATTACTACAAATACAAATCTCCATCATGCAGAAAATAGGAATGTTCACAGCACTTCCTGTTTCTACTACCACACATTTTGAATACACATAGCCTATGGCCTATGTCACTGCTCACCAGTGACACCCTTTAGCGCCATAATCCCATACCAGGCGACCCTCTTCTCCTTCAATTACAAATATCTTGATTTCTATAGAAGATAGATGATAATTTTTTTTTCCAGCAAGACAAAAATTTGGCATTTGGCAAAAAAAATAAAAAAATGAGCAAGTTTTGTGACAATATTAATAACTCTATGTGCCCCAACTTGGATAAGCGCCTTATTCCATCACATCGTGTCACATATTGTCGCAGCCAGTGGGTTCTTTTAAAATCTGTAGAGACCAACCCTACTGGGATTATTTATTTTCTAGAATACAGCGCAGAAGTATTCACAAAAATATTGATCTCTTTTAAAGACAAATTGATCAGTCATTGGCCTCATAACCATTGGGCAAAAGCTGGAGCATTTATAGTGGATGGTCTGACAACATGGTCTTAGTAGCTCAAAACGACCAAAAATGTCAGGTAGAACTTTGTAATTCTAAGCTAGGAATATTATATATATGTCGATTGGGCATCAAAATGTTTCAAATACCATATTGTGCATATGTTTTTGACTTATGTTGTAACCTTGTTTGATCACATTGGGCCCATACCCATGGGAAAAATGAATTTGTTGTTGATGTTATTGTTGTGGAAGATCCTGTACAATGCTTTTGGTAATATGATTGGAAGTGTTGTGTGATGAAAGAGAAGAAGAAGAGAAAGAGTAAGAAAGGGAGAGATTGAGAGAAAGGGGAAGGGGGAACTGAGAGAGAGTTTATGAAAACACAATGGCCCATTTCTCATTGTGATTGTTTCTACGAGTTTGAGTTGTTGGAAAGTTTGACTGTTATTTTAGAACTATGGTGCTTACCACTCAGCCAAAGTTCAATGTTTTATATACAGTGGAATCCTGCCCGTTATAACGAGAGGAAGGGGACAAGTGCAAAACGTCCGTTATAACTTATAGCAGGATTCTCGTTATAACGGATCCAGTAATAAATTCAAGGGGAACAATAAAGTAGGCTTAATCTATGAGTTTGGTGTTCTGTTCATTTCTTTTTGTTGTCTCCGCTGATGAAAATTTTGTTCAACATAACCTCTTGGTCTTACTTGATCAAAAATTGAATCAAGGTTCTTTCTCTAGCTCTAGCAATGTTGACTGCTTGGTGTTGGCGGTAAGAAGGAAATGGCTCTAGGTAAACTCGCCCGCTGTGTTTTTCCCCCCACCCCACTACACCCTGAGATGCGTTCCGTCTGCTTGCTCACGTCCAACATTCGCTCTATCTATTACAGCATTGTGACCTCTGCATCCCCACATTGGAGAAGTGAGAGGCATGGTAGGCCTAGATAATCTAGGCTGGCCTATCACGCAATGCGTTCTGCTTGTCTGCGCATGCCACACCTTCCCCACTCATTCGCCCCGGCCTTCGTTGTTGACACATGTGGGCTCTCCCATTCTTAGTTTCGCTAGATCACGAACAAGTTTCTCAACTGGCGAGGTTTTACATATATTATAATTGGCCTGTGCTCTATGCATGGCAACACCAATATTCCGCTATAACAGACTCGCATGTTTGTCGGATTGCGCTATAGCAGTATTTTATTTACAAAGATAAAGAAGGGAAAAAAACGGAGTTTAAGTTTAAGAAAATTGTCTTTATAATAAATTATAATAGACATCTTGTTATTTCAGGACGTTATAAGTGGAATCCACAGACCTGGTTTTATCTCTGGTTCAAGCCATAGTGGTCAGCTCAAAGAATTTAGACTTAGCCCTTTTAAAAGGGTGTTTTCCATCCTTGGGATAGAGTACATTTTTTTTGGGTGGTACATTCTTCTTGAAAGTTAGGGAAGTTTTGGAATTTTCAAGGCTCGGCACCTATCTTAGCCAATCTTCTCAAAGGTGACATTTAATTGGAAGTGGAAGTCTTGACATTTCAGTTTCAGTGTCAAAAGGGGCATTAACCATTTACCATACCTACTGTATGATCTGGCAGATAAAGGAGTGCTTTAGTTTTATGATACCGTGGCAGTTCATTGACAGATGAAGAAGAGCGAGCATGCCCAGAACCGTAGAGCGGGAAAAATAGATCTCTACCTAAACCTGAAGGAATTCTGGTACTGGTAAGGGTTAACAGCCTTTTCAAAAGTGAAAGGTTATTATCAATTAATATTTAATTTAAAAGTGGCATCCTTGAATTTAATGTCTGTCTGGCTGGCTGCCATGCCACCATATTTGCTTTTATCATGCTTCAGGTCTACTCAAGTCATTTGTCAATTTGATCCCTAAGGTTCGAATCCGAGCTGGATCCATATCTCAGCATTGTATGGGCTGTTCGTGTTCCCTTCTGGAAACGACCCGTTATGTTTTTTGGGGCTTTTTCATAAGAGTTTTACAACACTTGCAACACAATTAGGTCATATAAGTGCTGACGATTCGTTTTCGTAAGAGTTTTATGGCACTTAAAACACAATTAGGTCATATAAGTGCTGAGGATTCGTTTTCGTAAGAGTTTTATGGCACTTGAAACACAATAAGGTCATATAAGTGCTGAGGATTAGAGGAGTCACAAGAGAGCAAGAAACACAATAATTTATAAAGCAGGAGGAGAGATAAGGATGACAGTATTTGAAAGGAATGAATAAGCAAACCATAGCAGAGCACCTGCAACCACCATTATAATCTTTTTTGTGTCTAGAGAAATTCTTATATTTCCACATTAAAGTTATTAAAGTTAAAGTAATGTTTACAAATTTAACAAAACTGACAGGCAAACGAGAATAAACAACGATTTTTCTTTTCTGTCATTTATCACAAAAAGTTTATATTTCTGTAAACATAAGTAACATTAAAGTTAAAGAAACAACAAAAAGAAAAAAAACCCAACAAATCCAGTGGCTACATACACCCTGCAATCAAACATTGCAGAGGCAGGAAACTCTAGAGCTCACATTTGTGTGTGTGCACAGGCTAGAGACAAAAGAAAGAGGGGGAGGGGAAGAGGGGTGTTGCCCTCTCTGTCCCCTCGCAGACAAAATAACAAACCATGCACAGCACCTGCACCTGGCATCCTCACCACACACTTGGGAGATTCACATCAGATTGTATCAACAATCTATGCCGTCTGCGCGAGAAATAATAACACAGGACAGGAGAGGGAGAGGGAAGCTGGGACGCGCATACTTTATCGAGTAATAACATTCCATTCCATGTTGATCTGTGCAGTCTCCCCACCCTCCCCACTCCACGAAAACACCATCACATAATACTCGGATATTGCAACAAAATTAGCAACAGAACATACTAGTTAGTTAGTTCGGCATGAAAACCAAGTTCACAAAGTTACTTTCTAACTTCCCCCAGATTTGACACCTTTGCACTGCATATATATATATATATAACAACACAACCCACCCCAACAAAAAACAAAAAATCAACAAAATTTGTTATACTAGTACTAGATTATGACTTACCCATAATATCTTCTTACAAGTAAAGCACAGCCCAAAACAAAAACATTTGCCAGAAATCAAAATGCTGTAGAGCTGGTAACTGTGATTACATCCAGACTTGTCCATCTAAATGACTGCACCAGCGGTCACGTTTTGGCATTAACATCATCTGGGCAGCATACATATTTCTCATTTATACAACATAATATACATTATAATGTATTATTTAATCAATTGCTTCTCATCGTTGTGTATTGTGATTACAACAAAAAGAGGACGAGTCTTCTGAAGCTCTACTGTGAAATTGAAACACAACTTTGAGCCTCACTTTAATTAAAAAAGAAAATTTTTTAAAATAAAATAAAAATTCACCTTTGCTCTACAACTTCCACTCCACCTACCTCCTTGTAAATCAAGAACATAACTTTTTGAGGAAACAACAGTGTGTACAATTTGCCACACTGAAACAAATACATTCCCAGACTATCACATGGAGTCCTCCTTTACACATGAAAAGAGAAAAGAGACCCCAATGAGGACCTCCAAATATTCATGCTGATCAAACTAAAACCTGTTAGAACACAACAAAAAGCTCAGCATCTTTCAGCTAGGGGTCCTAGCCAAGTAATCAAAACAACCACAAGTACAAAACAAACTGCTCCACAAGACATCAGCAAGCCCCCATTCCTCTATCCACGCCTCAGGTAGCATGAAGTATGAAGTGCATGCAGCCACAGTTTGCAATACCAGGTCACCTACAATGTCTGTACAGAACTCTGTACCGTAGTTTTCAACTGGGATAAATCATATGACTCTTTCGTAAGTAGAACACAGCGCTAAAGATAGCTGAGCAAGGGGGAAAAAAACAAAACACAAATCCTACACATAAAAAACCCCCAAAACCTTAAGAATATGTTCTTGAAACAGGGCGTTCCCAGAGTGGAAATTTTCAGCATGGTAGCCTATATGCATAGAATTAGGGTCTACATTTAAAAAATCTGCAGACAAAAAAATATATTTAAAAATTGACAAAGAAAACAAGTCCTCTATGAACACAGCAAAGATCATTCCCCTGATCTCTGTTGCAAATGGCAATCAATGTCGTGAAAGGAAGAGCTTTGTGACGAAACCAATCACTTAATGAAATATATTTGCCAGATCCTCTAGAAATGAACAGCACTCATAGCGTCTAAAAAAAGTACCTGCCCTAAATAAAGCGACATAATAAATTAAAATGACCGCACACAATGGTTTTGGCTCCCCCTCCAGTCCATCAATTGTTTTCCCCATACAACATCGTAACTACTGACAGAATACAGACAGAACAACCTAGGGGATTCCACCTTGACACACTCTGGTTTTCTGGTTCCAAGTCGCGGCTCTTGGGGCCTCTGGTTATGTCCGGGTGGGTGAGTGGAAGCCTCACTCCACAGAGTTCCACTCAGTCTATTTACACAACACAAACACAGGGGGTTCACAGATTCAACAAATTGAACCCCTCCATTTGCTCCACATAAAGTAGACAAACAGTAACCTACGACTATCATGTCTTCACAGTGTCGCTACAAGCAATCCATGCAAATGCACATTTGATCTGAGAATTCTCAAAGAAATTAAAAACAAAAACTTTTGAGGCACCTTGTGAGCAGCCAGAAAAGCACAGGATGTTCCATGGACACTGATACTAGGCTCATCTTCAATTTGTGTCTGATATTGAGACAAGGGTTGTGGATGGATTTGAAACAGTAAACAATTCAAAAAAGCTATTGGTGCACTTGATTTTATCTTGGCAAATGGTAGACAAGGTTAAAAATCTGTCCCACTTCAAGAAGCTAGGCACGACACTATGATTTTAAAAAAAAAGAAAAGAAAACTTGCATGGATGGCTTCAAACACACACACAACTTCCGTTACTTGTTAAACCACATGCTCATGCTCCCAGAGCATTATCATTTTCTTCTGCATGATTTTATGATTTCAGTCACCCTCTAGACACAAATAGGTCATTTCAAAGGCAAAGTTGTACCTCCCTAAATCAACCACTCATCCCCCTTCCCCATCCATCTGGTAGTAAAGGGTGCTGGGAAAATCGTCAAGAATCAAGACGAAAAACTCCCAAGCATTTGAAATCTTCTACTTCTAGGCAGCGACCAGACTTTATAAGAGCATAGACTCCGGTTTCTCCATCAGTTGCTTGAACTCGCTGAGCCACTGGGCTCCCACAGCACCGTCCACCACGCGGTGGTCACAGCTCAAGGTCACCATCATCACCGTCGAAGACGAATATCTGGAGGAGAAAGAAAAATAAACAAAACAATGGGTACCAAGTCATTGTCGTGAGTGAAACTTACTTCAGCTGAAACTTTAAAACTTCATGGACCAGCTTGCCATAAGAAATCATCACATCCAATACAAAAGGTTAATTAAGCCTTAACAAAGGGAACCTAAATTTCATGTCTACGGAAGATTCACAACGCAAAGGAACTTCCTACAATTCCAGACTATTCCTTCTTAAAATACGGAACTTATCACTATTATCAGTCAATTTATCATATCCTACCGTTTCATAAAGTACGAAAAGACTATAAGAGTACAAAAACGTTTTATAACACTAACACTTTAATCCCTACTGCACGAAGGTAACTAAAAAAAGCAACCCCTTGTTTGTTTTAGTAGAAGTTTTAAGGCATTTGCAACTGCATAAGTAAAGCAACTCCATGGTCTCACTTTTTTGTGTCGAGCAACATGGTGGTCATATACCGCGAGTGTTAGAAAAAAAGTTCAACATTCACAGCACAGTAAGGCGGACTGGAATTTGCGTTGAACATGAAAAAGAGCCATACAACAGCTACACAGGAAAACAGTGACAACACATTGCACTTCACTTTCCACAACACAGCAGGTACAAAAATAGCAAATAGCACACAAACAATTACTTCATTTCTTCAATTCATGTAAGGGCCAACCTGAGCTGAGAGGGATAAAGCATCCCCAGCAGAAAGGCCGAGACACTCGATAAAAATTTCTCTAACTTGGGAATTGAACTCGGGTCTCCAGCAAGATAGCGAAACGCCTCACAACTACACCACAAACGACGGTCAGTTGAGAATTTACAGATAACACATCCAACAAAAAAAGCACACAAAACAACAGTCCAGGCTGCCTTAGCAGTCACCTGTACTAACAGCCACTGTTCCTCCACACCCTTGCGTTTTTTTTCTTATATCTTTTAACAGTCAACAGTGATCCCTGTCCAATGCCATCTAGGTTAGTCATTTTTGCGACAAGTCGGCCTAAAAACTAGGCCTCACAGCGGTGACTAGCTACTAGAGTTTTCCACCAACCCGTCATCAGACTCTTATGATAGATAACAGTCTTGATGAAAATAAAATGGAGAGATAAAGTAAAGATTTTAAATATATCTAAGATCATCTGTTATCTTCGTCAAGTCTTGTAAATGACTAAAACTCAAGACACTGACCATTACGGCCACCTGTCTGTAGTGTAACAGTCACTTCTCTTAGTGATTTTGAGTGAACATTAGGACAGGTTCCACTGTACTTTAGTTGAAAATTTAAACATAATGAACATAAAGGCGATAACATGTAAAATGAAATATTGACCAGCCATATTGATATAGTGACTACTGAAAAAAACTGAAAAGACCTAACAAAAACCATGCATTGTCACTCCAAAATACTCAAATGTATGCCGACAAATGGCTAGTACTAGTAGTATAGGATCAGAAAGAGGCAGTTCACTAATTTGGTAGGCCCCGGCTGATCCACTCTAAGCATCAGGGACAAGTTTAAACTAATTAAAAAACCCTAAAACTTACAGGCGTGTTTCCATGAACTAAAATAAAACAGGGACATCTACACATAGAGAAGCAACAAAAGCCACGAACAACAAAATATATCATAATATATCAAACACACAATAAAGGAAACTGAAAAGAAAAGTCAACATTTCTGAAATGCTTCCAATAGCATCATATTTCATGACAAACGAAGTAAAACACTGAGAAACATAATGCAATTTAAGAATACCAAGAGCGACATATAATTATAAAATACAGACTTCTGACACTACATAACTCAGTAGACATAAAAACTATAATCTTTTCAGTTTAACTCTCTTCAGACGGTTCACACAACAGTTGCGTGACCCCCACCGTGACGCTCACGACGGCTCCCACGAGCCTTGCGTGACCAACTTTGGAATTTTTTTCCCGCTCTACAAATCACGCACGGATCGCGAGACCCGCCTCGTACCCTTGTTTGGCCAAGCCTGAGCTACTTAGACTTCGTTTCGTATCTCTGGGACCCGTAGTTTTTAAGTTATTGAAGGTGAAAGACAGTGACCCCAACTGGGGTTGAACTGACCGGAACTCGCGCTTTGTTTTTTTCTATACAGCTGATAGTAATCCGACAGTCGCGTCGTAGTAACGGTTGAAGAAGTCACATGAACAAGAATCACATAATTTCGCCGTTTTCGATACTTCTCTACGTTTTACTAGTTCTAGTGTCTCAGAATATGATGTGTCTGATAGTTAGGATCCTGGATATATACCCAAACACGGCCCGAGTCGTAGTTTTAGGGCTAGATCTAGCACTAGTACTGGTGTTTTGTTCGCGCAACGAAATCACAACGTCGTGCCGTACATCTGTCTCATGTAATTCAGTGCATGGGTCTGAATCAACGCACAGACCAGCTTTTATACTTTCACCAAACACTCACACATGCATACAAATCAAAATACAACACTTTGAACTTTTATTTTTGTTGTTGTGAATTTCATTCTACCTGTCATGTCTCCGGAAATTTTTCGGAAAATCAAATTCATGCCAATTTTTAAAAAATCATATAAATTAAAGTATTAGACTTAGACAACTTTAGTTTTTTGTGTTAGATTAAGCTTGAATGTTACTTTACTGTGTCAAAAAATAATTACAATAGGGTAATTTTGAGAGTTGTGGTGATTTATTGAAATACCCCGAAAAACGCCAGTCTTCAACGCTTGTGACTGGTGAAAGGGCCCAGTAGCAAGTGAGTTAAACAACTAGTAAACCAACTTTTAAATAAAAAAGTAAACAGAGGAAACACAATTAAAGTCTTTTTAAAATTTAAAAAGCAAAATATCGTGTCAAGATGAATACCGAGAAAAGGTGAAGAAACCAATTGTACACTCAGGCGACAAAGAAAACATTTTGGGTGATGTGCTCTAAATCCGTTGCACCACAAACTGAAGGAAGACAACATCCAGTCTAGAAACTTCTCTCGTATCTCACCCTACGGAGGCACCAGGCCTCTCACTCGCACTCGGCACAGGCTGCTTTTTCTGCCACCACCAGCGCTTACGTGGGGCTGACGATGGACTGAGCCTACCTCAGCCGGCCAGAGCAGAAACCACGATGAGGCATTAAACATTTTTTTAAAAACCAGTAATACCGTTAAAATTGTCCAAGATAGCCACCCATTATCGAGAAAAAACGTGGTTGTCTAAAATAAACGGATTTCTTGAACAGTGTCATTCTAAATTCGAAAAAAAAAACCCAAACCGGTAAAGGGGAAGTGGTCAATCGTACAGGTGATTGTCTTGGGCTGGTGACCATTAGAGTAGGTTCGACTGTAATTCAGATTGTTCATCAGTAGGTGCATTTTACTCTTCAGTTGTGACTCTGAAGAGACATGCTACTGTCATTTTGAAATATGAGGACACATGCAATTTTGAGATAGTGATTGATATGCCCATGCTGTGCACACATTAGTAAAAATATGACTTCCAACAGACACATGAGCAAAGAGGAAGTGGTGGGGGGAAGGGGAAGTCAACGTGAACCTACATCTGTTTTAGTCTTTCTGAAATATTTTCTCAAAGCCCAGTAAATTCACTGGGGATCCAAGCATTCCGACTTAGGAGAGAAAAATAAACCCTGTTGTGTGTAGTATGGCTTAAAAGTAAAACTTATGTGGAAACAGCAACAGAAAACAAATTGGACACACAAGTCTGGAGCCTCTCTCTCTCCCTCGAGCTCTAACATTTTCGGGAAATACTTCGGCTTCTGCATGGTGTACGGTGGGAAATTTTTTATCTGTAGAATTTTTTTACCTGTAGAATTGTGAGAGTGCTCTGCTTACTCTCCCTCTCTCACACAAACACAAATATCAAGGGCCAGCCTTGCTAGCTCAATCACGAAAGAAAAGGTACTCACCCTGACTCAGAGCTACTGTCAACAACAACTTTCTTCTCTGCTCCTCCCACAGCCAGAATACAGGACTGGAGAGAAAGAGAAAAGAAATTGGAACATGTCAAATCACAAACAGGAACAAATTTTTATTCACCAAAAAAAAAAAATCATCCTCACAGGAGAGGAAGAGTTGAGGTCAAGGGGGTCACACATCAAATGTTTTGTTTAACACAGATGTCACTGGGGCTGCTTTAATTGATTTTCAAGGTTATGGACATTATATTGGCTTTATCATGACCAAGATCCTATTTGACAACTACTCCCCTTTTCCCAAACTCCCAAGCCTCAGGCAGACACTACTCTGCGTGAGCTTACAAAGCACCTTTTTTCATTTTGGCGTCAACATTTTTTTAACGGTAAATCGAAAGCCTGATCAGTTACCCTACTTGTGTGAAAAAATCAAAGTGAAATTGTGACTAGTTTTTGAATAAATTAGAATTCAAATTTTGGAAGCACTCTATTTTTTAATGGCTATGCTGACAAAAAAAAACTCTTTTTCTCGAAACTGCTGTGAATTTTTTTTAAAAGGCGTTCTGTCACTGTCAGCCTACGCCAGCACTGTGCTCACTGTTATCAAATGAACATACACACAAGTGTAACTGGTTATGTTTGGGATTTTCTCTTTTACATGTTATATGTAAACAGATCGATCAAAAGAATAAAAACACCACTGCTTGAGCATCTACGCTGCTCCATAGTATTCTAATTTCTATAGCGAGTGGCCGTCAAAATGACAAAATAAAGGGGGCACATGTTGCGTTTCATCAGACAGACATAAATTCCACAAGCTAATATAATCATCCCATCATCAGGAATGCCACAAGGATTCTGTGAAAATTTGAAAAAGATAAAATAAGGTGAGATACTAAATTGATCCGCAAGAGAAATTTTTGGGGGATACACCTGCAGCATCAACACAAAAAATGCACTCACTACATTCCCGTTTAATGATACAATAACGACGATGCACAACTCAGTCACACAATGCTTAGTGAGCAGCTTCGTCATGTTCCAACTACAAGGCTACCAATACATAGGAGCTAGAACTCACCTGAGGCGGGTTGATCACGGCTGAGAAATGTTTCACTCCAAACATGCCAAGGTTCGATACTGTGAAGGTTCCGCCCTGGAACAGCAAGAACAAAATAGTTTTAGGAAGAGTTTTACTGCACTTGAAACACAATAAGGTCAGATAAGTGCCGAAGATTAGAAGAGTCACAAGAGAGTAACCAACACAAAAATGGAGGAGCGATAAGGACAATAGATGTAAGATTCGCAATCTCTGCAGAAATTCCGAAGACATAGAAAGACAAGCTGACAAACAGACCTTATTCTTTTTCTTAAACAGGAGGTATAGAAGTACAACTGGAAAGAGGTTAACAAACGTAATAAGAGAATGCAAGCAATCCGATGCTCTCAAAACTGTGGAGAATATCACTAGGAAGACAGTTTCTGAAGTTCAGCACGCACAACACACAAAATCCTCATGTAATGAACTTCATCACAACAAAGCACACAAAAGAATCAACATTCAGGTTTCCGAATCCCCAAAAAATGTCTGGCTTTTCTTTTTATAGATGGGAGGAACTTATTTTTTTATTTAGTAGAGTTTTTACAGCACTCGCAACTGCATAAAGTCATATGAGCGCCAAGGGGTGGATGTCAACAGAGAAGTCTTTACAGGGAATCAGGCTTTCTCTGCTCACATCTCTAGCTTCAACAGCACAAAGTCTGTTTCGACTTTCAAGGCACTCTGGAAATAACGGGTCACAAGAGTGTGACAAACATACAAAAGAAGTAGAGGAAAAATGACAATAGTAAGGATTTGGAAAGAAAAAGCAGCAGTTCCCTGTTGCAGATCAGGCACAGTTATGAGCGTGACATTGATGAATCAGCCCATTTACAATTCTACTGTGCATGAACGAGAAATGTCCCCCCTTTGGGAATGGCCTAAAGACACTTCAGTCAGTGGCACCAACCCAGGGGAAGGGGGAAGGAGGAACTTAAAGCAATCAACCATCAAGTCGATTTAAATATATCTGTGATAATAAATGTACCAGAGCATGTGTTTTCATTCATGTTTTAAGGGATGCTTCCGTTTAAGATTTAAAATTTCTTTGAAGACAGGTCAAATTACAAGAGATATGGTACGTTGACATATAAAAATCCACACCATCTGGTAACAACATGATTAAAAAATTGTTGGAACTTAAAAGTACAACAGTTCTAACACAACTTGGTAATATGAAACTTCAAATGCTGGTATATATATATCAGCAAAACAACGATAAATCGAATTCGTCATGACTGGCCAGGGTAGTTCGAGGGATATCTTACAAAGATAAAGAAGAAGAAAAAACCGGACTGCAGGCACATTTCGACGGATGCGTGATTTCGAGTCTTCTGTGTTCGACACATCCATGTTATACTGTTTTACATACACACATACGTGGGTTCACATATGACAAAAAAACAACAACCCCAAATCACCTAAGCATATGTGAATTACCTGGAACTCTTGTGGTTGTAACTTTCCCTCCCTTGCCTTAGCAGCCAGAGCGGCCACATCTTGTGCGATTTGGCCCAAGCCCTGGGGATTAGAAGAACAGCAAAACATAACCTTGAACAGTCTGAAAACTGAAGAAAACTTAAAAATGAGTTCTTCCCTTGTAGGCCTCAGGAAAACTTGGTGGCATAAATACCTGAGAGCAGACATTTTCCAAGTATGGCCATTTTCAAACAGGAACATAGTTTCCCTCACATTTCAGTCAACCATATAAGCCGTACTAAAAGGTACACTAAAACTAATTAAGAATATTTTCAGTTTTGAGAAGGGACTAATCCAGAATTTAACCTTGTCAACTCCCCTTTCACAGCGCACCGGCAGAGGAATTTTAGTTGCCTCGGGGGGGGAACCCCCGCCAGGCGCCTTATCACGTCGGCGTCACGGGGGTCAGCTCCCTGTCGCCGCTCTGTCTGGGCCGACTTAATATTTGGTACTTTTCAACGTACAGTTTAAGGTGTATCCTTGTATTTATGGTAATTCTCATTTAGTGCACCCAAAGCATGCATTTCTGCTCTTGAGACTCAAAAAAGAACGGACGTTGTAACTTGTCTGGTTATTTTGTTAGACGCGCTGGAGTCGGCAATGCTAAATTGTAATTTTTTTTTGGACTAGTGTGAATGAAAAAAAAAAAAAAATTTAAAAAAGGCCTCGTCAAAATCTGTCGAACTTTTGGAACATAAACGACATTGCATTGGTGCAGATACTCAGAAAAGATGGTATCTGCGCATATAATAGAAAGCTGTAATTTTGCAACTTTATCCATCGGGCACACAATTCGCTAAGAAGTAATTCCTCCAAATACAACTTTGTGTGTTTAATATAATCGTGAATATTCGCATATTTTCTCGAAAGTTTATAAAAGTTACCATGAAGTTTCTGTAAGTAAAGTACAAATCGATTTTAGTGCTAGAATACATCTTCAATGTAGATCTAATACACAAACAGTATCTGTTACACTCCAGGAATTCCTTACTTTTCTTAAAACGGTAAGTCCTGGTTTTGTGAGTTGACTGTTATAAGAATAATTTCTCGCTTTCCAGGGACACTTAATCAGCACCAGACTTTTCCAGCTTTATTTTTCATTTCTATGACCATTTGCAATAACTGACAATGTGACTGATTTCTTTACATTCATAATTGTGTCCGCGCATATTTCCGATACAAAAACTAAGAATGAATGTGATAGCTGTCATTATTTTTATTCCATACAAGAAGTTTATCTATACCCATGTATTTACACTGTTTTGTGGGTTTTATAATCGCTTAGATTCTATATTACATCTTTTTTTTTAGTTGTATGCAGGCTGCCACAGACACAGCATGATTCATGAACAAACGCAGGGTAACTTTCTCTTGTTTAATAGTAAAATAAGAGCTAACGCTGATCGTCTTTAGTTAAAAAATGCAGATGTGCATCTTTCTTCTTTTATAACTTGACTACTTCTACTCGCTCAGACTTAAGATTTCTCATGGTAAAAGACATGATATTCGTAGTCAGTTTAACACAGATTTTGGAGAGATCTGTCAAGCCTTTATAAAATTAACAATCATTTATTCATAAGTTTGTAACTAAAATAGGACAAATTGGGTACTCTACAAACACTTGTCTAGAACAAAAACTAAGGCACAGAAATTAACCATTCTAACCCAGAATAAATCTCAAAACATTGAGCTTTTAGTACATCCGCGTAATGGTTTGCTATGTGGGATGGGGAAGAAGTTATATCGTTTTAAACATAGTTAAAAATGCGAACTTCCTAACCGACACTGGCAAAGTCGCTTCAGGGCTCATTAACCCTGTGACCCCGAGCCGGGGAGCTCTGGCGGGCTGCTGAGTCACGCCAACTAAAAGTAACAGAATCGGGCGAAAAGTGACGTCGTGCTCTGTTCTTTTGACACTCAAGTAGCAAGATATCCATAAAATGTGCAACAAGCATGCAGTGCTTCAAAGATTTTCATTGTTCTCTAAGAACAGGCAGTTCTCGATCAAATCTACCCTGGCTTCAGGGATAGAAAAACCTGAGACCCCAAAGGACTACCTACAAAAAGCCCTGCATACAACTGAGCATAGCATCAAAGCATCTTGGCACGAAAGACAAACACAGTAATGCCACTGTAACGACTCCTTTGAAAGCATGAATTGAACAATAATTCTACCATGTTTTTACCCAACAAGTCCTCTTTCCAGCAGCAAGCCTGCTGGCATTTGACTCTAATACGGACAACAAAATCAAGTTAAAAGTATCCTACTTCAAAATTCGGTATATATATATTCAGCACCATGAAAGACAAAATATTTTTTCAATCCTGACAAAAGGTGTGTTTTATCAAACACATTACTGCTCAGTCACAGCACTGAAAAGTGAATACACTGAACACATGCACAGCCGGACACAAACAACTTGTGATGTTGGCCCAACACACTCACCTTGGACTCTGCGTTAAACACAATGGGTGTGATAAGGCCATTGTCTGTTGCAACTGCGACGCAGATGTCCATTGTGTTGTATCTAAAATAAGAACAAAATCCAGGAAAACGTTTATCAGAATTCACAAAGAGAATACGATATAAAAGAAAAGGCACTGAAAATTTTCTAAAACATTAAGTGTCGTATATCATAATTGCCTAACTGTTTAATTTTACTCTTCATTTTCTCGATCACATCACACCTGAAGTCCGCTGTCATATATTTTCATATACTCAGTTCTTTTGATTTTAGCTACTTGGGAACATTGTAAAGCTTTGCACTCGCATTAGCCACATCCTAAAACAAAACCTTGAACATATCATCATTGTGGTATATTTACACTTCACAGGAATGAAGAGTGTCATTCGTTTCAGTATGATCTTGCCTCCTTCGTCGCATAAAAAAAAGAGACAAACTGTTCTCATTATACAGTCCACAAAGGGGTTACTACAATGAATAAGCACTCACTGTCTGATAAAGTCTCCCATCCAGGCAGAGTTTGCTTCTGGAACTTTCTTGCTGGCCAAAGCTGAGGCTTTGATGATGAAATCGTTCACCGAGATTTTCTTGAGCCCTTGTTTCTCTAGGGTAGCATTTAGTTCTTTTCTTATACTGGGGAGAAAAATAACAAAATAAACCTTCAGTTAATACAAGAACTATGAAATAAAAAATGACTGAACACAGTTGTAAAGCAACTTCAGAACAAGATGTCACTTGATGGCAACAAAAATGGTAATGGTCAGTTTCTAGCTCTAGTTTAGTTTTAGTAAAGGTTTTACAGTGCTCGCAACTGCATAAGGTCATATGGGCGCCAGAAGATTAGGGGTGTTACAAGAGAGTAAAAAACATAAAAAAGAAGGAGGGGAGATAAGGCCAATAGATGTTTCATAGGAAAGAAGAAGCAAACCACACCAGAACATCTGCCAACCGCCTACTTTCTTGCTCTAATAAGCTTTCATTATTCATCCATGACAGTAAGTATTATGAGAAAACTTTATGAGCATATATGTACATTGTTACACAAGGCAGCTTGAACTTATCCTTTTTTTTTCTAGTTTTAGTAAGTGTTTTTCAGCACTTGCAACACAATATGGTCATACAAGTGCCGAAGATTAGAAGTGTTACAAGAGAGTAACAAACACAAAAAAGGAGAGATAAGGACGATAGATGTTTGATAGGAAAGAAGAAGCAAACCACACCAGAGCACTCGCCAACCACCCACGAACTTATCCACCAGTAAAATATTTGGTACCATGGCTGGTGACCAAGTGACATTCTGACACACAAGTCACTAGCATGGTGAGCCAAAAACTCACTTAAAGTTATGCTGGATATATTGGAGCAAATGATTCTGGTTTAAATACCAAAAAGAAATATTCTGGAACTTGGCCAGCTAGAAGTAAAAAAAAAAAATTCTACTCACAGCGTTCAATTTCTCAAAGCGGTATGTACAAACCAGTGGTTACACCCTTGAAGCAAAAACATTAACAATGGGAACACACATTCCAACTCCGCCACTTCCCCCTCTTACAGGCTGATAGTGAGCCGTGCAAAAGAAGGATGTTTCCCTTACCTGAGTATTCTTTCAACATTGACTTCTATGTTCAAGTAGTAGTGAGGAATTGTCTGTTTAGACAAGGTTAGTCTGTTGGCAATCGCCTGTGGAGAGATTAAAAGTATTCACATTAATTTTTTTTGAATAATGTAATGTCTCTTATTTTCTTATAAAAGCTGTGATCAATCCACTAGCTTCAAATGAATTGATACTTGGGGAGGGATGAACTCTTACCAAAAAAAAGCTTATCCCTGACAGTGACAAAATACCCACCACCACATACTGACTCTGTAGCTTCCATAAATATACAAACATACCCCCTGCCAATCCAACCAACAATCACTATCCCCAGACATACAAAACACCGGCGTCTCAACGAGGTCGGAACATTTGAATTGATGGACCCATTCGTCAATAAAGGGTAAGATTTAGATCTTTTTGCAGATGATAGTGATGATCATACATCATACAGAGTTGATAATGAGTATAGGAAAGGAAAAAGGAAAGGTGCGGACTCAAGTGAAGATGAAAATTGTGCTAGATCTCGGCCTAGATCTAGAATCGGGTGTTCCCCATGCTCAGACCTATGATCCCATGCTTCCCGGTCCCGTCACGCAAACGTCAAAGATCACACAACGTAGATTTAGACCCCAAATGATAAGAATACAGCTGACATAAACCCTCCTATGCCTACACAACAAACTTCAAATAGTGGCACCCCTCCCCCAGTGGCCATGCCCCGTCCTGCAACCACACACCCAAATGTTGATGCTCAGGATGGGTGAACTGATGACTTAAATTATATTCCAGTTAAATAAAATTTGTCAGACATCTTTTCAAAGTGACTCTTCAACGTTTGTCAGTTGAAACAAAATCTATTTCTTGCAGAGATAAAGATATAAAGGCTTGCATATCGACTGAATGTACCAAGCACCTAAATGTTATGTAAAAGTTTTTTCTCTCGATTTTGACACATATTCACAAACTCATAAAATTTCACACGCTGAAGGTATCACAAAATTTTTTGGGGGATTTGTTGGGTACGTTTCAATGTCATTGTTTGTGGAAAAGTTCAATGCTGTACACAAAATAATAAGCTCACAGTGAGGTTTTGAAAAGGGTCCCGAAAGCCTGGCATTCCTCAGTTATCCTGCCGAGAAATGCCTGGCAGTGAGTGAGTTAAACACACATCAGATCAACAACCACACACCCTCCCAACACACCCCAGACCAACAGCAACTCACCCTCCTCATGTTGGTCAGCGGCATATCCTCGAAGCTTGTGCTGGTTGCCGGGGAGATTGCTACTCCCGCTGGGGCAGCAGCAACAGCAGCTTCTGGCTGAGCAGAGCTCACGTCTGCTGCTCTGATCTGACCATCGGGGCCCGAGCCTCTCACATTCTGTTGAATATACAACTTTGTAGTACAATTGTGACTCAAAATGCAGCTAACCGGCTTGATACCAGCCATATTTCACCAGGAAACGAAATAATGCTAACTAAAAAGAAATTGAAGGAGTAAACAATACTGGGATAACAATCATCAGCTTCGATGCAAAAATTCAGTTGAACGATGACAAAAAACGGATTTCACAAACTCACGCTACACACCACTCATCAATTCTCACACACCTGGTATCTCAGTCAACAAATAAACAAAGACAACGAAGCCCTGCACTGCAGTCCTCATACCTCATAGCAGTTTGTAATTTTAGTGAAAGGAACCCCAAACACCTGCCCCAACAGGACTCGTGGAAAGACAAAATCAAAATTCTGTCACACCTTCAAATCAATTCCCTTCTCCGCGGCAATGGCTCTGGCGAATGGTGTGGCAAAGATCCTGCCCCCTGGACCAGAGAGAGATGGCTGTGCTGCTGGGGCTGACGGAGCTGCTACTGGTGCTGCGGGAGTGGGTGGTGGTGACGCTGCTGCAGCAGGGGGAGGAGGGGGAGGGGCTGCGGCAGGGGCTCCCCCAACCTGTGACGGTGGTGGCTGGTCATCCTCTGGCTTGGGTGTGTAGTCTTTGAAGGCAGCGATGTCAGATTCCTCAGAGACAATGATGCACATTAACTGCAAGAAAAAGTATACAGAAAATCGTTTTGTCACTCACAAATTCAAATTAAATACTTTTTAAATGTACAAATAGCTGATATTTTTTGGGCTGTTGCTGTAGGAGTGCGCACACACGAAGCTGCCAGGGGTAAAAATAGAAATGTCACAATATTGGTGATAATGAGCAAGAGAGATCATGAGACTTCGATTGGCATTTAAACACAGTAACTCAATGATTCTTTTATCCATTGACCATATATTGTGTCTCTTGCTGTTACTCGTTCTAGCTTAATTTTGAGAAGAAAGTTCTAATTACACAAAAGTTGTGTTACATAGTAACTACAAAATAAAATAAGGACCACATTGAAATTATAGATCAAGAAAAAGCCACAGAACAAATAGGATTAGGAGTTTATTAAACTAAACAGGAAGCATAATAATAAATGTGTACACTACTTTTCCGAGAGGAACATCTTTGGACCCATCTGGGATGAAGATCTTCGCCAAATAACCCTCATCAGATGACTCAAATCCCATGCTGGCTTTGTCCGTCTCAATTTCTACCAGAAGGTCTCCTTCCGAGACTTTGTCGCCCTCCTTCTTCTGCCAGGCAATGATGGTTCCCATCTCCATGGTGGGGGACAGGGCGGGCAGCGTCACTTTCACATGCTCCGGCAGGTCACCTGTACAAACAGCATCAGGTCCACATCATCCCAAACCATACACAGAAGTAGAAGAATTAGCAAAATAGAACATATATATACTCAAAATCCCATTAAAGCGTAAGAATCTTTTTTAAAGAAAACCAATGGGAGAAAATAAAGGAAAAGGAGGAAAAAAATCTGGAAAATATAAACTTAGCAGATTGCTGAACAATAATTTTTGACTTTTTATTGTCTTGTTCTATTTTTGTTTTGTTTTTAAATTGGAAAGGAGGGGGAGGGGGAGAGTGGGAGTGTGTGATAAATTTGGTATTCTGGACCTTTAATTTTTCCTGGAAATGGCCGAACAAATGACACATCCGTACAAAACTTGTTACCTGATGAGTAGAACCTTTTGTGTTGAGCTGAGAAGCCCGGCCTGGGTAGACAGGACAGACGGGCTGTGGTGAGAGGCTCGGCCCTGTGGACACCACAACATGAAGACATGATTCACAACATGTTTTATGGACACCACACAAGGAGATGATCACAACATGTTTTATGGACACCACAATGCAAGGAGATGATTCACAACATGTTTTATGGACACCACAATGCAAGGAGATGATTCACAAATGTTTTATGGACACAACACGAGGATTGATTCATTTATACATGTTTTATGAACACCACAACATGAGGAGATGATTCACACCATGTTTTATGGACACCACAATGCAAGGAGATGATTCACAAATGTTTTAAGGACACCACAATACAAGGAGATGATTCAAAACATGTTTTATGGACATCACAATACAATGAAATGATTCAAAACATGTTTTATCTGTCCCCGTCGTTTTATGCAAGAAAAATTCTCAAATTATGCAAACTGAGCCCAAAAATGTGAAATTATGCGGTTCTGTTAATTTTTAAAAAGAATGATAACGGAAAATAATCAGAAATTATGCAAAAAAATGATCAAATTTTGCTAAATTATGCGGGGTGCATAAAACCATGGGGACAGTTTTATGGATACCACAATGCAAGGAGATAATTCAAAACATGTTTTATGGACACCACAACGCAAGGAGATGATTCACAGCATGTTTTATGGACACCACAAAGCAAAGAGATGATTCAAAACATGTTTTATGGACACTACAACACGAGGAGATGATTCACAACATGTTTTTCATAGGACAATGCTTGTCTGGAAGAAGGACTTCCCTAATGAGCTACAACCCTAAGAAACACAGTAATAAAGAAGAGACGTAACTTACTAACCCTATATTCTATACAGTGTTTCACAGTGGTCGCTCGTTACGGAATTCCTCCCATTTATCTAGACCACGCCCAATCACATTCTCTGACCCTAAAATAATTAATTCAGCTCTATATAACCAGGGTGATTTTGGGCTGGGTTTTTTTTGTTTTTTTTAAGGGGGAAGGGGGGGGGGGGGGGGGGGGGGGGAGAAGGTGCTCTGGTGTGGATTGCTCTTTCATTCCTATCAAACATCTATTCCATATCTATCGTCCATGTCGCTCCTCTTTTTTTAAGTTTGTTACTCTAGTTTTAGCCTGACTCTGTTGTATAGCAATGCCAATCGGGCTTTCCCGCGAGGCGAAAATTTGGTCCCCGTTTACGGGCGATTTTGCGGACCCGGCCGAAGCGTAGGTGAATAACTTTGTCAACCTCGGTCTCCTCTATTTCCGAACCAATCCGAATGAAACTCGACAACCAATCAGAAAATAGGGCAAACTAATGATATGTGGACGTTGAAGTTCGTAAACATAAATTAACCTATACTTTTGGTGTCGGGAACACTTTCGTATCGTGTACACCGAAAACTATAAGGAGTTTGAATTTCAACGCCGAGATAGTAATAGATCTATCTATCCTCTATAGTGTGCTCAAATTTGAACGTTCTGTGTCAAGTAGTTGTTTAGACCCGATCATAAATACACGACTACCCCCCCTATCCAAAGCGGCTTCGCACGGAGACCGGCCATTTTCCCCTCACTCTCGTGGCAAATGTATGTGACCTACAAATCCCCGCATGACTATTCCGGGCCCGTTCATTGGTCACTTGAAATAGGGCAATGGCAGGCGCGCGCATCCGGTTGTTTTTCTCTCTATTCCCCTGTAACATCGCTATGGGGGTATTCCGAGGCGAGGTTATTTCGTCTCGGGGTGTTCGCGTCTCAACGGGGAAAAAGAATTTTTAATTGTACGGCATGCTAGACTGAATTAACTTATCTTTTAAGGTTGGCATGGTCTAAAGTCATCATAGAAAGCTTTGCAATTATTTAGTCACGCTGCCGACATATATTCTCAAAGATCCCATGTTGTGATACGATGCTATAAATAAAATGGACTCATCCCGACACCCCTTTTTCGCAAAATCGTAATATGTACACCACGATTTTAATTATATCAAAATAACTACGAAATTGGTAGTAAATCTGACTGCAGAAATGATTTCTACACTCAAAAACACATCGGGTAGCCAAGTTTCTCTCGAACACTCCGATTAGTTACCGAGATATCGTCGATTTTCTTACAGAATCTGCTACTGCGTGGTCCACTTTTTAGGAGTACTTTCCTATATGTGGGTCATCCATATTTTGCTGACCTTTACAACCCCATAACTTTTTATTTATGAACCGATTCTCAAAATTCAAGAAGCATAATTCTTAGAATTGAAAATTATTTCTTAGGTACCAAAAAAAAGGGGACAAAAGTGAACATTTAAATTTTCATTGGCATTGCTATGTTGTAACACCTCTTATCTTCGGCTCTTATACAAACGATCTTATTGTGTTTCAAGTGTCATTAAACTCTAACACACACAAAAAGTAAAGTATGATCTGTCTCCTTCAAATTTCTTAATTCAACCTCATCGGTCCAGACCTTTCAAAGGTGAATGTGTAACATTAGTAAAAAGGCAAGGAGACAATGGGACATCTAAAGTAAAGTCTTAGACTCAAGTCCTTGTCCCAACCTTCAATCTTTTTATCACATATAACTTACAGATCTAGAAGACTGTAAATTATACGCAGTGGCTATGTTCACGGCGTCCTGAGTCTGAATCATTCACCATTGGCACAGAGGCATGGCTGAAACGCTATGGTCCCTCAAAGTTCAAAATGAATGAGGAAACAGAATATAGCCTAGTCGAACACTCGCAAGAAAAATAATAATGTAGCAGTAGTCTGAATGCAACCAAGTTTACGGAAGGTAAAGGTGGGCACAGTAAAACAGGCTCGCTCAGATCGCCGAACACGACTTCATTCTCTCTGCCCATGTGTGGACCCCGCAAAGCTCGACAATTAGAAAATAAAAGTCGTTCGAAGAAACAAGAGAGAACGAATGGAAGAAGAACAAGGCGGGAAGAGGGGGTGGGAAAGGGGGAAGAGGGGAAGAAGGAAAAGGGAAAACGGTAGGGGGTGAGGTGAAGTGAGCAAGATCATTATTAAATTGCAAACTTAGCAATGCCCACCGAGCGCGTTTTGTTCTGCCGATTTTTGGCCCCCGCAGCGGGGGTGTTTCGTGGGACCCACTAACGCAAAGGTTGTTGTCTTCAACTCGCTCTCATGCCGCTTCTCGTGAATGGATATGAATGAAACTTGGCAGCCATTCAGAAAAGAGGTCAATCTCGTAGTATGCAGTTTGACAACATTGTACCCATCCTAGAAGCAGTCGAAAACGTTTGCGAAAGTGGTTGTTGTGGTGCGCTTTGAAGATTTTTCGGAGCTGTGATTTGTCAAACTGACTGATACGTTGTACACCATTTTTCTTTATTCCCTTAAAATTTCAAGCTTCTGTGTTTAGTGGTTTTCGCGTAATCTTTAAAAATGGGGGAGTAACTAAGGGAAAAAGCGGCATTGCCATTTGCGCGTGCTGGGTGAATGACCGGCGGCTGGGAAATTTCCACTGAGTGACGTCATCAGCCATCGGTCGCCTCGGGCGCTACGAACGAGGCCCCGCTTATGTGAACCGGAAAGGGGGGGGAAGGATACTTGAAAACTTAACGGGGGCCTTGATAACTTACGTTTTTGTTGCATTTTAGTCACAATACAATAGATGTAGTCATTTTTATTTGCTTGATTGCATGACAGAAGAATAGAAACAGAAAAGCAAACATCTTGAGAAGTGGTATGGCATTGTGTTTGCGTTATGAAAGCCTATTCCCCCCTCTTGGGAAAGCACACACTTGGACTCGTCCTGTGTGCTTTTTTTGGAAAAGTGAGGCATTAAGATTGTTATTAAAGAGTATAGTACTTATTTACTCCAGTCTGGGAGGACAGTCCCGTTTATACATTGATATTGTTCACGCGTGCGTGCATGAGTGCGCGCGCGTGCATGTGTGTGTGCACGTGTGAGAGAGAGAGAGAGAGAGAGAGAGTGAGAGGGGGGGGGTAAATATGTTACATTTATTATATGAGTTGTAGCCTACACATGCAAAATATTCCCATGACATGTAAACTATATTATCTGAACACATCTTAATCTACCACACAATAGGACACTGTCCAACAATGGATATACACAGAGACGATCTTATTTTCTATTACAAAGTATGCATGCTTTTACTAGTACAGAACTGGATTTATTAGACTAATAAATCCAGGTCTCTACTTACATTTTTGTGACAAATTGACCCAGAGCATTGCTTGGCAAGGAGGAACCTTTTATGTTGCCTAGTTTCATTCACATATCATGACTTTGGGAGAACATATGACTGATAATCTTTGTAAATCTGTAAAGAACGCCACTTTTTTACCTGTTAATGTCTTTACAACTCAAAAAGTATGACAGATATTAAAAATCTGACTGCATGACTAGATTCTGCATTAAAAAATGTACTAGACATCCAAGTTTCATTTACATATTATTCCAAGAAATAGGCGAGCTATGACAAATATTGTCTCAAAACGCACCGAAAACCGCCACATTTTTACCTATAAAGGTCTTCATAACTCAAAAAATAGGATAGCTATGAAAAATCTGAAAGCAGGACTAGATTCTGCACTAGAAAATGTACTGGGTTGCCAAGTTTCTCTTAAATACTCTGAGAAATGAGCGAGTTATGACGAATATTGTCTCAAAACTCACCAAAGAACATCCCATATTTTGGGTTTTTTTCATAAAAGTGTACCAAAAATTAATTGATTAGAAAATCTGTAACTTTTTTGTTTATTGATGGATTTCAAAAATTCAAAAAGTTCCATGCTCTGTAAAGATAAAGCTACAAAATGCACCTATTTGCAAACACTTTATGGCAAAAAACGGTTTTCCGTGGTCATTGCTAGAAACTATATTCGCTGCTCCACTGCGTAAATTATTAGCAATGACAATGAAAAATTAAATTTTCATCCAAATTGCTTTAAAATGGGCTTAAATGAAAATAAAGTAAATTCTAAGAACTATGGTTTTTAAAATTTAAAAATCCATTGATAAATTAAAAAGTTATTGGGATTTTTGTTTGCTAAATGTTGGAGGACCTTCATATAGGAAAAATTCACCAAAATGTGGGACGTGTTTTGATGTATTTTGAGGAAAAACTGTTCATAAGTCAGTTATGAATTGGAGCATATGAATGAAACTTGGAGCATATGAATGAAACTTGGCATCTTCATGTGATCTTTAGTGCAGAATCTAGTTCTGCTATCACTTTTTCGATGTTTTTATTACTTTGGATCTTAAAGACTGATATTTGCGTGAAATTTGTTGAATTGCGTGACATCGTATTTACCACGAAGCGATCACCTCTTCTAAAACTCAGTAAAGCGCTATCGGGAAAACCCGAGATGTAGTCATCGGTGACCTATTTAGTTATAGGCAGCCAATCACATGCTCCCTAGCGATCGTGCGCCTCTTGCATGCCGGCACCTCGCGTTTGGAATGCGTGATCTAGTTTCCAGCTCTAGTGTTTTATCAATGGATGGGTGGTAATTTTAAATCGGTACGTAAAATCTACTAAACGCAGAGATCTGAAATTTTACAGCAATAAAGAAGACATGTGGGGCGCTCCACTTAGTTTTCGAACCGCAGAGGAAATTCGCACAAACACGGCAATATCTCCGGTTCTAGTAATCGTTCGGGATTGTACGCTGGCATGTCGTTAGTTTAACCTTTCCTCTGATTGGTTGCCGAGTTTCATTTATTTTCGTCCAGTTTTCCCGTAACTACACTTAGAAGAGAGTCACTCCTGATTCCGAGCGGCCAAAAAATTACCCCTCACGCGGAGGCCGATTTCTGGCCCAAGGCGCAGCGGGAGATTGGCATTGGATCACTGGTAATTATATTGTGAAGTTGTATCTAGATCTACCTTTAACCACCAGTCCCTAGATAGTGTCAACTCCTTTGACCTAAATAGTATTAGTATTAGTAGAGGTTTTACGGCACTCGCAACTGCATAAGGTCATATGAGCGCCAGAAGATAGAGGTGTTACAAGAGAAGTAACAAACATAAAAAAGAAGAAGGGGAGATAAGGACGATAGATGTTTGATAGGAAAGAAGGAGCAAACCCCACCAGAGCACCCGCCAACCACCCACTTTGACCTAAACCTCACAGTCTTCCCCCAAAGTTAAAGAAAGGAAACAAAAAAGAGGGGGGGATATGGGTTGACCCAACATGCACAGTGTAACAGAACTAAAAATCTAGAACAGGACAGGCTTTGTTCGGACACTGACAGACTGACGCTGCCAAGCAAGCACTCTCCATTTCTTTGCTGCAGTACATCTCTCTCTTGCCCTTTTAACTCCCAGTGGAGCACAGGCCATCAACAGCATATAAGCATACTCCAGCAAAGCCTGTCCTGAGCATCATTTTCTATCTGTTTCCATGATGTCCCCGCTTTTTCAATTTCCGCTTGTACCGTTCGCCTCCATGTCATCTTTGGTCTTCCCTTCTTACGTTTCCCTCGTGGGTTCCACGTTAAAGCCTGCCTGATGATGCTTGACAGGGGTCTCCTCAGGGTGTGTCCAATCCATTTTTATTTCTTCACCTGTATGTCTTCCTTTACTTTGTCTTTTACTGGACTTTGGTGAGCATTAGTGACATAAGTACATCTAGTGTCCTGATAATAAATCTATGATATGGCCCAAACTTATGAATACTATCATGATGACATGAGAGTGCTCGGTAGAGAATGGGTTGTAATTAGTTGTGTGCCACCGGTCGGTTCCAGCCCTATCAGTGTCAGGCCAGAAAAAAAATGATAACAACCGTAACGAACGGCAAATGAAGAGCCGGATGATTTACCTAATGAGCCGGGGACCTGGGTGCTCTGATGCATTATTACAAATGCAATGAACAGAAAGAGCTCGGGCGTTGCATCTAGGCTTGTGTTGAACTAAAGCACGGAACACTGATGGAGAACGAAACATGTTGAATTATCTTGGAGCAACCCGCTCCTCCAGTCGTCCACGGGCAAGGTCAGTGTTGCTGTCGGCTTATCGTAGCCTCGCCAGGTAAATACACTGATCGCGACAAACGTTGACACCAATGAAAGGTTTTAACTAGTATACTTATTGGAGAGCTCTGTAAAGACAAATATACCAAGATCAGTTGATTTTTTGATAAACCGAATGCCTTTGTACTTATTGGAAATAGCAATAGAGACAACATTATAAAAACAGGTAAATATATGTCTAAGTTAGAAAAGGGTGTGCAATTTGGCATATGATACAAATCAATTTGTCATCCATGTTTGACAAGGAAATACCAGGTTTCCACAAGAAGTTAAAAGATTTGTGAACAAACGTAAACACTTTTTTCTTTGGGTATGGAATATTCAGAATATTCTGTTTAAAAAAAATCAACTTTTTTAATCATAAGGGATAAAAAAAGCTGTATGGCATATATTTTTTTGGCGGAGAATGAACTAAAATGACTTACATTCTTCTTCAGTAGCATAGTGCTAAAAGTTGAATTTCCTTTTTCAATCGGCTGAAAAAATCTTACTGCTGAATCAATTGCCGAAATTAAATGACAACTTGGTATAATGAAGAAATCTATGTGAATGAAGTTTCGTATATTTACAAGTAAACAAAAACTTTACAAAATACAAGATCTAATAATTTTACTTAATTTTATTTGATTTACGACCCTGGGCAAGAACAATGAATTCTGTAATTTCATTCGAAACTAATCAGAGCCAGCTAGCATCATTACCATAGTTTCGTTTACAAATGGTTTCCGCAGATTGGAACACAGATAATTTCGAGAGTGACTGTCTCATTTCTTCAAAGTTAAGGATCGTTGGGTTAAAAAATGCCAGGTATCATATCACTGCCATGCCAGCTAACAACTTTGACCCGATTTTTTTTTAAATTGCAGGAGTTGTAGTTGTGTTTGTGTTCTGTGTGGATAATTTTCTAAACAGACAGAACTGTTGTGAGACAGAGGAAAATGAAAGCAGAACGTCTCGAGATTTTCAGAAGCCTTCCAACCACCTTACAACGACTTTTTTTTGGGGGGGGGGGGGGTTAAATTACTTCAATCGAACCCTTCTCAGCTCAGCAAAATACACTGCTTGACAAGTGCTTAATTAGTGCAAGATTTCCAGTGTTTGTGTGCTTATTGACTGCACTCAGGCTGAGCAGCGCAGCCATTGTGAACTGTAGGCCTATTTGCTACAACTGCTTTGGAGTGACAATTGTCTCTGTCTCTCCCCCGGGCCCCTCTCTGTCTCTCTCTCTCTCTCTCTCTCTCTCAATCTCTCTGTGTAGATCAGGGGAAACCATATGATTTTCAAAGTGAGTCAGACAAAGTGAATGCGCATGTTGAGTTTAATATTTCTGTCTGTCTTTCTCTCTGCCTCTCTCTTCCTCTGCCTCTCTCTCTCTCTCTCTCTCTCTCTCTCTCTCTCTCTCTCTCTCTCTCTCTCTCTCTCTGTGTGTGTGTGTGCTGCGGGTGGTAGGAGGAAGCTACTGGTAGGTCCCACTTCTTTACTTTCCCTCTGTTGTTTCTCTACCTAGCACAAAATCAAATC